CCCCCCCCCCACCCCCATCCCTTTTTCGTTTTGTTTGCGTTGTGTCATGCGAGGGAAAGGCAAACTTCTTTTGCTTAACTCACTCACTAGAATATTAACGGATTCGAACTTGATACCCCTTATTAAAACAAAAAAGAAATAGTTATTGAATCAGTTAGTTGTTGATATCTTTAAGGAGGTGATTTAATTGTCAAGAAACTAAAATTTTAAGTTGAAAATCTTATATTTGAATTTTGAAATGGATAAAGAGAAATTAAAAAAAATAGAAGTTTTATTATTTTTTATATAATTTATCATCAAATATGTAGTTAATAATACATATCAAATCTGAACACCAATAATTTTCACAATAATATGTTTCTAACATAAAGGCAGAACATTACAAATTTAAAAATAAATACAAGTAATTTGACACCATCAAACATCAAACACTCTTCAAATAACTAACTTAGACAATGTCTCAAAAGATTCTAGACGGTTCCGCTCCCGCGTCAAGAGAAGAAGGTTAACAACTCTGCTAACTCGCCGGAAAAACAAACATTCGAAGTAAAGTGCAAGTAGGTATGCCATAATCGCTACTGGTACCTGCCACTTCTGTTCTGAAATAAGGACAAGAGTAAAAGTGAAGGCCAAGATCATGGTTACCGTTGAAATGATAAGTGCGTAAATAGAAAGTGTCATGGTAAAGAACAGGTCTCTGAAAGAAAGTCCTCCACTTCGGTATGCTGTGAGTACATTCAGGAATCCCAACAATGATGCTGATGCAGTCACAAAGGACACTGCATCACACATTAGAAACCCGGAAAACAGTTTTCTGTGCAATAATGTGGGCGTGCCGGTGTCACTGTTCCCGCCAGGAACCGTAAAGAGTGCTGCAAACATAATGGTAACAATTAAAACAGATGCGAGACTATAAGACGTTGCAGTTTTATTTCCCCATTCCTCCACTTCTTTTGCCAATTTATGGTGTTCCTTGCTGAAAACTTGCTTTGGAGTTTCACCGTAACGATTTTCGGCTTCAAGACACCAGCGTGGAAGGCAAGCCTTAATCCCCTGCCATTTCATAACAGTATTAATTAGTCTTAAAATTTAAAGTGAAAAGAAAACGAATAAATTAATTAAATCTTTTTCAGAAAAACAAATTATCTGATTACTGAGGCCCAGAAATTACTCCAAATTAAAACTTACCCCTAAAAATGAGACTCCACCAAGAAATTTCATAATCCTATCTACTTGTATATTTATATTCACCTTTTCTTAACTTAAGAATGTGAGTTTTTATTAGTTTCTAAATATTAAGGCATTAAATTTTTAAATTTTTTGATATTAATTTTATATATTTTTTATATAAAGATAATTTTTGTATAACTTTTTAGTCATTAAGTGAATGGCTTGACTTTTCATTGTATTGTTACTACATCAAAGAAACATATAATAGGCATGATCTTGGGACGTTGTTGTCACTCGAACTTTAATCTTTGTATCTGCTATATATAAATGTTGTTTCTTGGCTTCTTTCTTTACATTCTAACATATCAGCATTGTTCTTCACAACAAAAAATATGAGGAATTAGTATTACACTAAAGTAAATAAGAGAAAAAAATAATATTAAATAATGTTCACAAAGATGAAGAATGATGGAGTGAGACGTGAATTAATTACTTTTTTTAAGATGTTTCATGCTACTGGTGTAATAGGTTTTTATGATCATGTTTCCCCCAAAATATAACGACCCAACATTCTTTGTTGTGGCTTTACAAGTACTACACCCTTGCAAAGCAAGCTCCATGCCATCGCCAATAAGAGTGTAGTATAGGTTTTTTTTTTTTTTTTTTTTTTTAATGTAACAGCACATAGCACAAATGGAGGGCTACCTATTTATAGATTTTTAAATTGTAACCAAAATATAAATATTAATTTAAATGGCTAATTAAATCAAAATCATTGCACAATGAATTTGAAAATATATAAACGGTTGCAATAAACATTTCATTTATTTTTTTCCTTTGAGAAACGCATGCTCATTAAATTTGCAAATCAAATTTTTAATTAAAATTTACAACATTCTCCCTCCATTTTAATTAAAAAAGATAAGATTTTAGAAGATAAAGAATTTAGGCAAGGGAAGACTATTATGCATAATGGAGGTAACAATGCCTTGAACCTCTATTTAGTGACTCAATGATTCCTATTCCATAGTCTCTAATGAACAAAGTCTTGAATTATAATTATTTGAGGATATAGGAGACCAGATCACACACATAAAAGTCCAAGTGTTAATTTGAGCTTAATAAGCTGACACATTACGGCCTTTGCACCTAATCTTGGTATTTATGTATGATTTAAAGAATAACCCAATTCTCATAAGAGTGTCCCACTCCAACATCCATATAGGTGAAATTTGTCAAGAGTACTCCCATAACTAAGACACTCTACTCGATGACTGTAAATTTCATTAAGAGTATAAAACTCAACCCTCAATACATTATGGTATAGATGCATCCTCACCTTAGGAATGAGACTGAAATTTTTTTTCCATTAAATATTGATGCATCTTTCAATGATGACTTCTCTCTGATTTGTTTTTCCCATTCAAAACCCAATTCTTAGAATTTGGGTTGGATATCCTTATAAGAAGTTTTACATTGTTGGCTTGAATCTCATTCTCCTCGATGAGCACTAAACCTTGGACTATGGCCATAGATTTTCCTTAATCCTTTTTTTATCAATGGCCTAGTTGGTAGTGTAACAGTGGATAATAAAAATCAATCTCATTTGTAATGATATGAACCCAGATTAGCTCATATATGAGATATTATAATTTCTCAAGATTCACACATTCTTGTTCATAGATCAATCTATTATCCCATTTCACAAATATTGAGCTAAAATACCACCTTTTTCATTTATCAAAACCGGAGATTTGTCCATTCAAAAACTTGGAATATATAATCCCAATTGTTTTAACCATGATACCATGAACATCGATTAAGCTCTTAGGGGATCTCAATTTTGACACTATTGTACCTCTCTGTACAATAAGAATGTCTCGTAAATATACCCCATAACACACAAGCATTTCATGGTTCTTGCACTTTTAAAACATCATTCATTTCTCAATTTCATATTACACCATTATACCTTTAATGTATAATAGGAATGCACCAAATAGGCAAGCCTTTGAGAAATGAGAAACATGTATGAGTTTATAGAACTTTTTCATCTCCATGTCAACCACATTTGCATTCCTTCCTCTGCTATTGCTCACAATTGATTATACATAAAATAAACTTGTAAATAATGAAATAGGTTGCCAAGTAGAAAATAGTTTAATCTAATAATTACTCATAACATGCATACAAATTAATAATCTCTACCAAAATAAGAAGAGAAAAAAATTTCTAGTGTCCATTTCTTAACACATTAATTATTATATAGATAATATTTAGATATTTGTTTATTAGCTGTTAGAGAATAATATGCCATAAAAGCATTCGGTTAGCTAGTATCAAAATTTCACGTTGAAGAAAGGCTCTTAATTCGCATGTAAATGCTATTCTGCATCCTCTGTAATCGACCATATATAATAATATAATTGCATTAATCAACCTTACCAATTTCAAAATGAATAATTGCAATTGAATATCACCTGAAGGCTAGAGCATTAAAATTGCTTGGTGTTGTCTGCTAAATTCGCTCTTTCACAAAATTTGGTAGCTGATCGTGAATCACCTTTTCATACCAAATTTATTCAGAGAAGAAGATTTATATACCATGAAAAATTTGGAATCCCAACAGAGAATGTAAAGAAGGAAAGCATCAAACTATTGCAAGATGTTGCCAAGAAATAACGAACCGTCCTAAAATTGTTGTCCCTTGAACTTTAATCTTCATATCTGCTATATATAAATAATGTTTCTTGGCTTCTTTCTTTACATTCCAACATATCAACTTTGTTCCTCAAAACAAAAAATATGAGAAATTAGTAGTAAACTAAAGTAAACAAGAGAAAAATAATAGTAAATAATGTTCACAAAGATGAAGAATGGTGGGCTGCTCTCTTTAGGACGTTTCGTGCCATTGATGCAACAGTTTTTTAAGGTCACGTTGCCCTCAAGATACAACAGCCCAACATTTTTTGTTGTGACTTTACAAGTATTGCACCCTTATCAAGATCCACACCACCACCTTTCCTTGCTCAACAGAAAATAAGAGTGTGGTATACGACCTTTCCTTGCCCAACAGAAAATAAGAGTGTGGTATAGTTTGTTTTTTTCTTTTTTTATGTAACAACACATAGTACAAATGGAGGGTTACCTATAGACTTTTAAATTGTAACCAAAATATAAATATTAATTTAAATGACTAATTAAATCAAAATCATTGCACAATGAATTTGAAAATATATAAATGGTTGCCATAAACAATTCATTTATTTTTTCCTTTGAGAAATGCATGCTCATTAAATTTGCAAATCAATTTTTTAATTAAAATTTGCAACACGTTTAAGCCCAAGAGTTGGTTCTAAATTGTGATTCCACTCCACCACCCCAATTTATAATTGTTTTCATTATAAAAATGTGAGTAAAAATCTTTTAACAAAAAAGGGAAGTGAAAAAAAAATTATCATCTTTTGATAAATAATCAAAATCAAGAGTAGGGAAAGCGTAAGTTCAATATTGCATTTTTAGTTTGGGCCTGAAAAGCTAGAGGCCCACCTATTTGTGCTAGCCATCGCCTACCCACCTCTATGTCAATTTCAGAGTTGGGCTTAGCCTAATAAATTGGCCAAGGGAGATAGGTCCAATGGGATGTTATTTAATGGGCTTTCAGGTTACTTACCCAAATTCAACCCCATTTGCTTACGAGCAGCTTTGTTAGGCAAAAAAAAAAAAAAAGGGAGGCAGGGAGGATATGTACGTAAATAGACATTCCACCTTACGCTTCCCTTCTTCCTCACCTCTCTTCTTCTCCGTTTCTCAAAACCCAGTTTCGAATTCTCAAATCCCCTTCTAGATTCGCATTGTTTGCTCAAAACGGGAACAGCAATGACCTAATCAAAGAATCCAGCGAGAAGGAGCGGCCAAATGGGTTCGTCAACGGTGACGGTGGCAATTTTGATTCGAAGAAGGATCGGCGGCCGGCATTTAATTTCAGTTGGGGTGATCTGCTGGACCCCGACCCTGAAAACATCCTGGCCATTGGATTGACGGCTTTGCTGGGGTGGGC